CTGCCCCCGTGGCTAAGTGACCTTTAGCCAGTTGCATATCCCCTCTCAGCTTCAGTTTCCTTATTTGCAAAACGGAATTAAAGGATGAAACCACCTACTTCATAGCACTGACTGGGGTAGAACGGGATGCCACCCGTAGCACACTTAGGACACGGAAAGGATAACAGCAGTGGGCATTATTATTATTCTTTGCTTTTTTTCCAGTACCATTTATTTACTTATTTTATTTTGAGACAGGGTCTCACTAAGTTGTCCGGGCTGGGTTTGAACTTATCTCAGCCTCCAAGAGTGCTAGGATAACAGATGTGCTCCACTGTGCATGGCTTACACTTGGCTTGGTCACTGGTGAGGACTCCTTTGGGGAGTATCCTAGTGTGCAAAAGCCAGCCTGCTTTACAAACCTTCAGGTCTCTCAGCGCGGTGAACAGCCGTGTATGTGTCTCCGTCCTGGAGAGCCCCGTACACCTGTGCCGTCTCCCCCAGGAGCTTTTCGTGGGGTCTCAGCCAGGCACTGGAGGATTCAGGCATGGCCTGGGAGGATCACTGGGCTCTAGGGAAAAGGGCCGATCTTCCCTGCCACACCCAGTTGTCCTGGCCCATCCCCCATCCCTGCACCATGGACCTTCCTCATTGTTAGCTCAGCTTGCTCTGGCTAGTCCTAGAATACGGACCATTTGTCTCCCTCCAGTTCCTTCCTATTTATTTGAAGGGAAGGGTGAATCAGATATAATTCTAAAAAACTCAAACCATGCAAAGTGCATAAAAGAAAAACTTTAAATCTGTGTTCCACCCTACAGGAAATTGCCATTAACAGTTTTCTGTGTACCCTTCCAGGATTTCCTCTTCTATGCTTCAAAATGTGTGTGTGCCTGTGTGTATGTGAACGCGTGTGCACGCACATGTGGCCATGTGCTGTATTCCCTTACGGCACACAGATACAAGACATAGTAACAACATGAAGACACGCCATGCTTGAAATTCTTCAGTTCAGTTTTTCAATAATAAATAGGCCACATCCCAAGTTAGCCTTGACACCTTCGGCCCCATGCTGTGTGTGTTTCCGTGGTGGTTTCCCATTCTTACCGAGATGAGCGGTCATGTGATTAACATGCTCCCGGGGATACCTGTGTGATTTGTTGAAGGCATAGAAAGAAAGTAGATGAGGAAAACAGTTTGGAAGTTGCTCCTCAGGGATCGCCCTGGACCTCAAACCCTGAAGATGACCTTCCCCAGCTTCCCTAAGCCCCTGTCACCCTCCACTAACCCTCCATTAGCCTTTGCTCGAAGCTGGGTTGAGCCTCCATCTTGTGTGAGGATCAGAAACGATTTTCAGATCAGAAATGACTACTTTTCCTACCCTTGGTCTTTCCAGAGAGGTCCCAGTTTCAGAAAATGAGGAACCTGAAATGCAGAGAGGGAAGTAGCCAACCCAGGGCCTATCCCTGGCTCTGGATCAGAATCTGGACCTCTGGACACAGAAGTGGGGCAGATGGGGAGGTAGAAGTAGGTCACAGGGTTAGGGAGGTCGCTAATGAATCTTTGACGGTCATCCCTTTTGATCCCAGGATTCACGCTGGGAGATGGAGACAGCACCACTCCCATCTCCCAGGTGAGAAAACTGGGGACAGATCTGGGTGTGAAGCAAGATCGGTCCACCTCCTAAACCTTGCTGGTCCTTCTTCCCCTTACCTCCAAAGTCTGGGGTCTGGACTGCCAGTCTCAGGCTGGAGGCCTGAGGTGACCAACAGCCTTTCCTGGTATCCTTGGCCCTGCCCGCTCCCAGAGGTCCCAAGGGCTCTTCTCCCAGGAGGACCCAAAACTGAGGGGCCCCACCAGGCTGCTGGAAGAGGCCACTCCACAGGGCAGGCCATCAGCTGGCCAGCAGAGAGGGGAGGGGGAGATGGGGTCCCTCCCAGCACACAGATCCTACTTTGCTACTCAACCTTGGAGAAGTCACCAGGGGTGCCCACCAGGGCTGAGGAGCCCAGGGGCCGACGTGTTCCCAGCTCGCTGGAGGTGGGCAGTTGGGCTGTCCAAAATCTCACTGGCTGTGAGAGAAAGTAGAGCAGCCTTCGTGAGGGCTGGGCGAAGGGGAGACCCCCAGCCTGGCTCCAACCAGCTGTCTCTCTGAGTCCCAGAGCTGGGGCCTCCTTGGGAAGGAGCTCCCTCTTGGGGACTCCACCCTGCCACCAGCACCACCCCTGGTTGCTGGGCACTGTCAGCAAAACACTCCCCACAGTCCCAGCCCTTGGCAGGGACTGGGAACTGTGATCCCGCAGGGAGAGGTCCTATTACCCGGGCTCCTCAGAGGGAGAAGTGGGCTTCACCGGGCTGTGTCTCCTGCTGACTTGCGGTTTGAACAAATGTCGGGAAATGGTGTCTCCTCCTCCGGGCCCTGGAAGGGGCTGGGGGCAGCAATGGGCCCTAGCTCACCCCAGCACCAAGCCTAGCGCCACCCCGCCCATCCCAGACCTGAAGTATTGTACCACAAGCTCAGGCTGCCAGGCTGATCTTCAACTTGCCCTGTCAAGATCTCTTCAAATTCTCCTTGTCACCTCCACTGCTAAAACAGCTCTAAGGGCCTCCTGTTGTCTCAGACAGAAAACGCTTCCCACATCTCGGCCTCGAGGCCCTACGCCTCTCCTGGGTCCCCAGCCTCACGGCTGCCTTTCAGGCCCTTTCTCCCCTCCCTCTCTTCCCGCCTTCCGCCTTGTCACTGAGCTGTGTCCCACCCCAACTGGGAGGGCTGTTCACCTGGGGACCCTGGTCCTCCCGCAGGTCCAGCCTCCTTCTTCAGAGAGGTGTCCTGCTTGTCTCTTACCACGGCTGCGATTTTCAGTTGACATCTAACTGATGGGCTGGCTTTCTGAGACCATCCGATTCAAGACCAAACAACCCCGGGGCAAAGAGACCTATTTTGTTCACTCTTGCCTCCCAGAGGTTGGCACACTGTGAGTGGGCATCAGAAGCACAAATTCTCTGACTGATTACATGGGGCAGCACAGTGCTGAGAGTGCAGGAACTTGGTGGGATAGTAAACCAAGGGCAGATTATCAGTACCTGGGAGTAGCAGACCAGGAGGAGCAGGCGGGGGCTTGGGTAAGTGCTAGGATGTCATTTTAGGGAATGAGGCATGGGTTTTGAGGTTCCTTTATGACCTGATTGAGTCATTGCCTGGTTGGTTTCCTCTCTTCCTGTTAAACACAGGTCTCTGGAGAGAGGACCTTTGTTTCTACTTCACTCCCTCGATGCCTTTTCCCATAAGACTCCCCACTCCTTAGCATAGTCCAGGCCAGAGGTCTACAGAGAATATGTGTTAAATGGATGGATGGGTGGATGGATGGATAAAAGACCTAAAAAAGCTGACAAGGTCTCAGAGATTCCTTATCCACATTCTGATCAGAGATTCCTTATCCACATTCTGATTTTTAAAATGAGGAAACTGAAGTCTAGCAGAGGTATACCTTTAGTCACCTCCTCTCTTTGAGAACTCTATTCACTCCTTCTTCTCAGCCCATGAATGTGTTTAAATAGCATCTGACCCAAACAAAACAAAGCATCTCTTTCCCTCCTTCCTACACCTGCGGCCTCACCTAGGACCTGCCAGTTTCTTTCTGCCAAACTTCGCAAAAGACTTGTAAGACTCACCCACTGGACTTTCTCTTCTGCCCTTGACCTCTTAGCTCCTGGGCTCACATCACCATGGCAACTCCGAAGTTGCCACTCCCCAGGAACTTCCTGGGCCCAGACGGTGTTAGGCTCCGTCTGCACATCTCCTGAGACCCCGAGGCACTGCCTCCTCTTCCCACCCAGGAGACAGCGGCTTCCTCCTGGCGCCTTCGCCCGCCACCCCCTCCTTGCCCTTCTGTGCTCCCATGGGGTGTTCTCTCAGCATCCCTGAGCACCTGCATGCAGGCACTCTGCCGGGCTCACGCTGAGTAATCCTCACGCTGACCCTCTGGTGGTAGGTGTGTCCGCGTCACCTGTACTTCGAAATGGAGAAGTGAGACCCAGGGAATTGCCCGGCGCCGTGCAGCTGGTGAGCGGTGTCTGAAACTCCACCCAAATCTTGCCATTGTTGGGCCTGCGCTCTTAGCTGCAAAGCCACCCCTTTCTCATGGCTGCCCATTCACACGGAGGCCTCGCCTGTCCTCGTAGAAACTCGCAAGTGATATTTCCAGAAGTGAGCTTCCTCTAAACTCCAGACTTACTTGTCCAATGACCTGATGAAATTTTTCCTCTTAGATATCCCTCCAAAATCTCAGAGCAGACTCCTCACATCTCTGGCAGGGCTGACTTGCTGGGCTCCAATGTCTGCAGTGGGCCCAGTGTCTTCTCTGCCCCTCAGGCTCTCTGCCCGGCTGTCTGGATCCTGACTCAGCCCTGCTGCCACTCTGGCCATGGAGCTTCTCTCCCTCCACAGCCCCAGCTCTGCTGGGGCAGGTCCAGCTGACCACCGCAAAGCTTTGCCTTTAAGTATCTAGAAGCAGAGCGGCAGGAACATGGCAGACAGATGTCAGCGGTTTCTCCCATGAGGGAGTCCCAGTTTGCACTTCTGTCCAGTGTTTTCCAAATTGCCTGTTTCACTTGACAACCAGAAACGAACTTGTTAAAACAATTTAAAAAGTGAATCCCCTTCCTCCCACCCTTCTGCAGCAGTGCTCACCCATGGCCTCCCCCGAGGTCCCTGCAGCCCAGCGCCAGGACCCCTCCCTGGCCCCTCAGGGTGCCCCAAGCGTGCCAGGGGATCAGTTCAAACAGGCACAGTCACTGCAGTGTCTCTGAAGAGCGAAAGAGGGGGCCACCAAATGTCCAGGGGCCACCTACAGCTGCCAGTCAGCTCTCAGCTGGCAACGCCGTGCAACCAAACCTGCCATCCAACGAAAAAGAGTTGTTCCAGAATAATGTATGCAGTATGTTCACGTTTATGTAAATAATAAAAGAGAGTCATGTGTATACACGTTTGTATACTTACAGATACTTAAAAGTACAGAGTATCCTTGGAAGAATCTCCCCGAAAACTGGTAAATCGATTGTTTCGGGAAAGAGATGTGGAGACAGGGTAACCAGGTAAGAGATCAGACAAGACATGAGTGTTGTTCTATTCAGTTTTAAAAAGCTGTTTCCCTGTAGCTTTAAAAACAAAAGGCAGGCCAAGGGTTTAGCTCAGTGGTTCTGCCATCTGCCTCACAAGAAAAGGTCCACAGTTCTATCCCCAGTACCATTAAAAAAAAAAGGCATGAAACAAGCCAGGCATGATGGCACATGCCTGTAATCCTGGCACTAAAGAGGCTGAGGCAGGAGGATCACAGAGAGTTTGAGACCAGCCTGAATTATGTAAGTAAACCCTGTCTCAACACCCCCACACAAAATAAAATTTTTTTAAATTAAAAAACATAAAACAGAGTTGAAGTAATCTGCCCAGGAACCCATGATAGTGAGTGGGGATCCTTCAGGCACATGCTGGGGTCCTCTCTCCCACCCCTCTAGTGGACCCATCCTGAGAGGGATGGAGTTGTTCCCTCTGTGCCTGCAGGTGGAGGCCCCATGGGGAGCCAGGGTGAGGGCTGGAGGTGAACCCCTGCTGCAGCCACCTGGCTCCTGGCAGGATGGCTCCAGGGCACAGGCGGTTGTGGGGCTTGTCGGTACAGGTGCTCTGCCACACCTTCCTCGGATGGGAAGCCGACTGACACAGGGCGACTCCACCCTGCAGCAGGCCTCAGAGGTGGGACGCCGAGCCCCAAGTGCCAGGTGCGGTGGGGAGACATGGGCACCCAGGCATCAGTCTGTCTTCTCCCGGGAGGCAGGCAGGGGAGGGACAAGCCCAGCAGATGGCCAGCCAGGGGGAAATTGTCTTCAACGATAAGAGCAAGTCCCTTTGCTTCGGAGCAGTTCATCTGAGAATCCGCACGCACTGAAGACCTCAGACATCGTTTTCAGAGTGAGAATTTGCCCGGACCCAGAGCTCGGCACCCCCAGGGAGAAGAGCCAGAGCTGGCGGTCCAGAATCACCTCTTATGCTCCCGCTTACGCCCTGGTTCAGAGTCTGCCTTTGTCTGGGGGAAGGGTTCTGGAATTGAACCCAGGGTCTTCACTTTGAGTTACATCTCCAGCCTATTTTATTTTATTTTGAGACAGGATCTCGCTTCGTTGCTCAGGCAGGCCTCAAAATTGTGATCCTCCTGTCTCAGCCTCGCAGAGTGCGGGGCTTGCAGGTGTGAGCCACCACTCCCAGGAGGGCATGGCTCTGCCCCTGCACCAGTGACCAGAGCCACCTGAGCGGGCTCCCAGCCCTGTGAGTGGCCACCCAGCTGCAGCAGGGGTTTACTCAGGACTGTGGGGCACCTCGAGCAAAGGTCTGCAGAGTCTGTCCTGGAGTCCCTGGAGCACGTGAGAGCCGAGGCCACTGTGAGAGAGGCAGGTCTCACTTCTGCACCACGGGAGGTGAAGGGAGCCCTTCAGGCTGGGTGAGAAGTGAGTCCAGCTGTCCTTACATGTGTGCCAGGAGGCTGATTCCCCAGGAAACCAGAATCCACGAGGCTCAAGTAATCAATGGCACAGTGTCTGTCTGCACCCCGTGTGCATACCCCAACCCCAATGTGGCTGAATCATCTCTGGGTGGCTTAGAGTACCTGGGTAGGTAATGCTATGTAAACAGCTATTTGCTGTCGTGTTTAGGGAGTATTAACAAGGAAAGCCACCACTATGATTAATACAGACGCCATTTTCTTCCCCCGAATATTTTCAGCCTGCTGTTGGTTGACTCCACAGATGCAAAGCCCACAGACTCAGAAAGCAGCCCCCGCTGGTAAATCCCGTGCTCCCCGGGTCTGATGAACCAGGCCCCACGCTGCACACTGCACCCCAGCAAGGGAACTTGATCTTCACATCTCCCCAGGGAGCCTTGGCCCCATTTGACAGGTGAGGAAACAGAGGTACAGGCCATCTACTCCTCCGCAGTCCCTCGGCTGGGAGTGAAGGTGCAGGTGTTAGCCCAATCTTGGGTGGAGCCTGGTCACAGCACAGTTACTGTCACACTCGGGACACCAGTCTGGTCCCCGGGCTTCTCCCCCAGGAGTAGCTTACTGCACAGTGTGTGGCTCCCACTGCGGGAACGTGGGCTGAAGGGCAAACGCTTCTGACCAGCAGAAGCTGTGTTTTACTGCGCTGGCTCTTTACCGGCTTCTACCCAAGAGGCAGCTCTGGCTGAACAATGTCTTGCAGGGCCTGGGCAGCTGACCCAGGGAAGCCCCTGGCCCCTCTTTCACTCCACTGCCCTCGACGCCTGCTCTCACCTCCTGTGACTCCTGCCCTGGGTTCCAGCACAGGAAGGGGCACAGTGTGGCTTCACCAGGCTGCCAGGCCAGGGCCCCACAGCCATACCTTCCACGAAGTTGTGTCCCCTGGGCTGGGTGGCAGGGTGCATGGTCCTCAGGACAGCTACCCAGTGACCCCAGAGGATGGGCCACTCCCACTGCCCCTCAGTGCGGCCCCCAGCACCCCCCACAGACACACTCTCTCCCTGGGGTCCTGTGAGCACCTGCTGGCAGGGAGGCCACTCTGAGGAGGGAAAGGAGGAGACCAGGGCCCTTGGTCGGGGGAGGGGGCCTCCCTGCAATGTGGTCCCCGTCCAACCGAGACAGAGACACAGCCAATGTGGTTCCTGAGACTGCGAGGTCATTTACCTCTGGCTAAAAATAGGTGCGTTCCCCACAGCAGGTGTGACTCAGCACGCCCACGCTCTTCTAGACGGAGGAATCTCTCTGCCACTGGCCCCACTTTCCCCCAGGTGCCCAAACGACAGGAAAGGGTTGGTGACAACGTGTAGCATGCATTTCACAGCACTTCCCGGGCCAGCTGACTTTCCCGCTCTCCCCTCCCCCTAACTGACAGGTCCAAGGCCACAAAAGCAGAGCCGTAAGTCCTGCCATCCACGCTGATGGTAGCCTTTCTGCAGGCCCTACCAGCAGAGAGGAGAGGGAAGGAATGGGCTGCGTGTTCCTGTGTGCGGGAGGGTGCCCACCTGCATGCCCAAACGTGACAGGCGGGAAGATGCGTGGGCCTGCAGAGTCAGGACGGGCTCTGCCTGGCTTCTCACCTCCCAGGCAATGGGCTCTGGGCAGGGTGGCTGGGTTATGGAAAATGTTCCCTTTCCCCATCCCACGCTCTTTAGGAAGCAGTCTTGGCTTCCCAGATTCTTCTCTAGGGGCTACGGAAGCTGAGGAGTGAGGCAAATATTTGGAGAATTCAGCCCCACCTCAGGAAACTGAGCGGATTGGTGCAAGGGGTAGAGGCAGGACAGGGCCCCAGGGGACCTAGTTTCCGGCCTGGGCTCTGCCACTCTTCGATGTGTGACCTTCAGCAAGTGAATTCTCTTCTCTGGTCTCCAGTTTAACCTTTCTTTACTTATTTATTTCCTCAACAAATACGTATTGAATGCATTCTGGACCAGGTATCCATACATACATACTGTGCTAGATACAGGAAAATAACTATAGAGGTTTAAAAATGCCCAGGAAGTCCTGACTCCTCCCCCATAACAAAAACTGGAGCTCTTTCATCATCCCTTGACTCTCGGCTGACTCAGTGACTTTTTTGACTAATGCTGCAAAAATGACACCTGACTCTTACGACTGCCTTTTGTAACCCAGCTGTCACATGGAAGGCCTGCATCAGCCCGTTGAAGAGGCTACACTTGGCAAAGAACTTTTGGGCCCTGAGTGACAGCATCAGCCAATGGCCAGTCCAGCAACTTAGGCCAGGTAGAGCTCACCCCAGCCAACCAGCTACTGCCCAAAGTGTTGACCATCCCAGCACTCCAGGATGCTGAGGCAGAAGGATCCTAAGTTTAAGCACAACCTTGGCAATGTATCAAGACTCTGTCTCCAATTAAAAAGGACTGGGTGTGTAGCTCAGTGGGAGGCCCCTGGGTCTAGTCCTCCTGCCAGGGGAGTGGGTGTTGAATGGGCTCAGCCAGTGGCACTCAGAGCAGACAAGCCACCCAGCTGAGCTCCAACACAAGGTCACACCAGTGACCCACAGAGCTGTGAACAGTTACATGGGTCTAGTTTTCTTAAAGCTACTGCATTTTTGCCAAGGGTGGTGCATACCTGTAATCCCAGCACTCAGGAGGCTGAGGCAGGAGGATCACTGGGAGTTCACAGCCAGCCTGGGCTGCATACTGAGTTCAAGGCCAGCCTGAACTACACAGAGAGACCCTGTCTAAAAACACCGAAAAAAAAAAATTTCGATAAATAAAAAGTTACTGTGTTTTGGAAGTGGTTTGTAGTCCATACAACAAATGTTTATTGACCACTTCCTCTGTGCCAGAGACCATGTTAGGTGTTGCATATAACAAAATCTCACTTATTCTTCACATCAGCCATGTCAAACAGATCTTCCAGTTCCCACTGTATGAATGAGCCCGGGAGGGCACAGGAAGGAGCGGCAGCTTGCCTGAGATCAAGGAGGGAGCAGGTGGGGGGGGGGGCTAGATTTGAGTCCCCTGCCCCATCCAGAACCAGAGACCCAGTTCTTGTGCTCGCCAAGTTTACAGTCTGGACAGGAGACTAGCGTTACAGAGCCACAGAAACAGATGCACTCCCCACGAGGAGACGAGTTAGGCGGTCACCTCGAGGTCACAGGGACAGCTCTGGGGGCCGAGGCGGGAGGAGCGGGCAGGTGGCTGAGGGAGGTGGGGCAAAGGCTCGCACCAGCCCTCGGTTTCCAGCTTGAGTCAGGTAGAAGTCACCTGGAGAGCCGTCAGAAATGCAAACTCCGAGCTAGGCGCCGGGTGCATGACTGGGATCACAACGCTTGGGAAGCTGAGGCAGGAGGATCTTGAGATCCTGCCTTTAAAAAAACTGAGGAAGAAGAGGAGGAAGAGGAGGAGGGGGAGAAGAAGAGAAAGAAGACACAGAAGAAATGCAAATCCTCAGATTTCTCAGCCCAGTTCCCTGCAGATTCTGATTTCCAAGAGGCCATGAGGTACCCTGTATGTCCTGATTTGATGGGTCTGGCTGGGGCCCTGGCACTGAGCCGAGGTAAACCCTTGTCCAGACGCTGGCCCCTGACTCAACAGCCCCTCTAGACCCCCTACCAAGTCTCTGCCCAGAACGTTCCCAGGATCCCTAAATGGTTTCCCAAGTCCCCTTAATTTTCATTTGGTTTTTTTTGTTTTGTTTTTTGTTTTGGTACCGGGGATCGAACTTGGGTCCTTGTGCTTGCGCAGCAGGCAGCAAAACCACTGAGCTAAATCCCCAGCCCATTTTCATTTTTTTTAAAAGAGTGTTCCTCGGGGTTCAATCCCCAGCATCAGGATAATAACAATAGTGTTCTTTCAATTGCAGGGAGAACACGGCCTCCACTTCCGAAGATCGGCCCGCCTGCGAGGCAGCCTGCCCGTCCCATTCTCCTGCTCCTGCTCCTGCTCGGCCAGCCCTGCTCAGGGTCCCTACCCTGGCACAGGACCCCGCTCCCTGGGCAGTGACGGCAACTGAGATGCGGCCAATCAGAAGAGGCGTGTTGGTTCTTCTCCAGCTTCCTTCTCTTCTTCCAAGTAAGGTGGGAGGGCTCCTGGTACGGCTTGATTCAGACCAGAGAGAGGAACGGATCTCCTCTTGGCCAGCCCCAAAGAAAGCTCGTTGGGGGTGAGGCCCTGGCCCGCAGTGCAGCAGGAGTCTGCTGAGAACTCAGGTGGTGAGAACTCAGGTCCCCACCAGACCGGCTTCCGTTCCTCGACTTTGGGGCAGACACAGAAATGAAGCCTAGGATAGGGAGGAAGACAGCACATGGGAAGGTCATACTTGGGCTGGGACAGAAGCCCGCAGCTGCAGCCCATCCCCGCAGGCCCCAGGAGCTGAGAGGCCACCCTGCCACCTCTCCCCACACACAGGGGCCCTCGGCCAGGCGTGGGAACATCTCAGAGGAGGGGCTGGCCGCAGGAAGGGCCGGGCCTGACCGCCAGGCCGGAATGCGGAGGATGGAGGACGGGGCTCTGACTCACCCAGGCCTCTCACATGGAGAAGGGCTTGGCTGGGGCTGGGCATGTGGCAGGGAGGGAGCTGGCAGGGGCACGACAGGAAAGGAGGCCTCGAAGAGAGGGGACAGGTCACCCAGGGCAAGGGCCAGTTCGAAACAGCAACCCGCCCCTGGATTTGGGGTCTCTTCTTTCTTGTAGCGCATCCTTCCGACTCAAGCAACCAGGCAGGAAGCCTCTGAGAGCCATGAATGCCAGGTGAGGGCAGCACCCTGAACAGCACCAGCTCCAGGTTCGCGGCTGCCTGGGCGTTCAGAGCGGGCTTGGGCGAGGCCCTCGTGGGCCATCCTGCCTTATTCTCACCAAGCTGAGCGCAAACCATATTGGGGACGTTTTCTGGGCAGCACAAGAGCTCTCATAGCACAAAGGCACCAGGGGGCAGCCATTTCCTGATTTGCATGTGGGTAGATGGGCCTCTGAGGAAGAAGTTCCATGGGAGGCAAGAACCAGGTAGAAGTGAGGGGTCCAATTATGACTCTTTGTACTGCTAGGATTTTGGTTACAAGTGAAGGAAGAAAACCCATCTTTTTTTGTTTGTTTAATGCAACAATGAAATTTCTTGGCCTTAGACCTTAAGTCTAAGGGGTTGACTAGTTCCAGACGGGGCTTGATCAGGAGTTCTAAAACAATGTCACAAGATCTGGTGCTCCCTGTTGTCTTTTGGTTCACCTCTTCTCCAAGTAAGCAGCTCTGTCCCAGGCTGGTTCTACCCCATGGTGTCAAGATGGCTGCAGAAGCCCCAGGCCTCACTCTCTTTCCTGAGAGCAAAGGACCAGTACATTTCTCTAATAGCTCAAAGTTCTGTAACTGAGTTTCATTGGCTCTGATTGGCCTGAATTTGGCCAGGTACCCTAATCAATGATTGTGGCAGGGGAAGGGAGTGTACTGACTGACAGTGTGGGACAGAGACGTGAATAGGAGCTTGCTCTCAGCAGTGATGGGGCAGCCCATTACTGCACGTGAGTGAATGGGGACAGGGTGACGAGAAACACTGGCCCTTTATTCCTTTCAGAGGAAGGACTTCCTGGAAAAGCTGAAGGGGCTTCTGTGGGGTCCAGGTTGCAAGGTGGGATACAAGTTAGAGAGAGGAAACTTCTGCTTGTTTCCTCTCAGAGCACAAACCCTTTTGGCTGTGGTCACACCGGCCAGCATGAGGTGTCACGCACACCCTGAGCACAAAGCAGGGAGAGAGGCAGGGTCCTCACCTCAGCTGGGCACAGGCATCGGCGGGAGGCAGAGGGAAGGGACCCCAGCAGGCTGGGCATCGGCGCTCTCGGGTACAAGGGATGTCCGGAGGTGACTCAGGCGGACAGTGCAGGGTGAGGCAGTGGAGGTCTCCTCTCCCAAAGGAGCAGCATCTGGGACCACTGGGGACATTTGCTGCCTGTGACGGGAGGAGCTCCTGCCTGAGGGCCAAAAGTGCTGATTCCCCTTCCTGGTAAATGGGAGACACCTCCGGCCGCCCGCAGAGAAAGCCCGGGGAAAGGCTGCCCAGCTGCCCTGGAGCCAAGCCTGTTCCTGCTACTTGTCCTGGTCTGGGAGGCCCCAGCCCAGACACCAGTGCTAGCCCAGGTGCCCCAGAGGCACGCACAGCTTAGAAAAAGCCCACAGAGCAGCAGGCCCGGATGTGCCCTGTGGAGCTGGCGTCCTGGAGGCCCTGAGGCAGCAGTCAGCCAGGGACGTGGATGGCTCTCAGGACTGGGTCTGAGGATGACGCTTCCCAGGCTGGCCTTGGCCTTTCCGGTTCTACTGGTTACAGACCAAGGGCAGCTGGAGGGCCAAAGGCAGAAGAAGCACACCAAAATCGCAAGCCTGCCCACGCCCTCCATGAACAGCTTCCTCCTACAGGCTCATGGCACGGATTCAAATCGGAGGACAGGAAGGAGGGTCCACACCGCGTGCCTCCCTGCTTCCAGCACCCTTGCTCCTTTTCGGGCTCACTGCCCTTCGGACAAGGATAGCTGTTTCCAGAATGAGAGCTGGTCACCAGGACCCGTGCCTCCTCCAGTGGAAGCCACGCCTGGCCTCTGTCCTGTGCATCTGTGGGTCCCGGCTGGAAATACTCCTTTCCATGGCTGCCCCAGTCAGCAGCTCCAGCTTCCTCTCAGGAGAAAGCCCACCACCTCACTGGGGGTCTGCCTGGGTCTCAGTCCCTTCCTGAGGGAGCGGTCAGGGTGGGGGGAGAGCGAGGCTTTGAAGTGAGATGGATGAGTGTTCATCGCAGCAGCGCCTGTGCGGGCTGGCAGCAGAACTCGAACAGGTTACTTCCCTTCTCCCGATGCCAGTGCGCTTATCTGCAAACAGAGTGGCGAGACCCCCAGGCTTGCTGGAGGAGCGGATATAAGAGAACAAAGCTCCTGAGCCGCTTCGGGAGACATCTCTCTGGTCACTCACTTTGTTCCAGGCTCTCCACACCAAATCCAGATGACTTCCTATTCCACTTCCACCTCCAGGCCAAACACCGGCTTGTTGGTCCGGTGATCACACACAGCCAGCCAGGCTCTGTCTGATACTGACTGTGTTTCCTCAGCTCCACAGCCCTGGGAGGTGACACCACTGAGCTCGTTTGACTCAAGAGGCCCCTGGAACTCAGAGAGAGCCGAGAGTCCACAGGCTGTGGGGTGCAAAGCCAGCAGTCGATGCCTGGTCTCCTCAGACTGCTTCTCTGCTGGAATGTTCCCCTTTTCTCCTCCTGGATTCCATCAGTTATTTAGGGTCTCTTTCCTTCCATCTCTTTCAGAACACCTTCTGAATCAGTGAGGATACTTGGTTGCAGATGACAGATACCTCTATCCCAGGTAGGCATTGTGGTGCCTGCCTTTAATCTCTGCACTTGGAAGGCTGAGGCAGGAAGATCATGGGTGTGAGGTCCGCCTGGGCTGCATAGCAAACCCTGTCTCCAAATAAACAAAAAGCTTCTACCCTAAACAGGCTTAAGAAAACAATGGAACTTTTTGGCTCAATTAATCACCAAACCAAGGGCTCTTGTTCTAGGTAAGGTTGGATACAAAGCTCAAAAACTGTCATCAGTGGTTTTCTTCTTTCTAAACAGTGGTTCTGCCTTCCTCTACGAACACTAAAGTTTTAGGCTCCACATGGCACCAGAAGGGCATAGTGGCTCCAGGCCCAGTGCCCCCGGAACTGGACCCTGTGGATTAGTGATCATGAGGATGGAGTCACAGCCTGGCCTTAGCAACTTTACAACAAGACAAAGAGACTGGAGCAGGCAATCTTGCCCTGTCTCATCAGTTGATGCCATCTGCCACGTCACCACGCAGCAAGAAGCCCTCGCTGAGGGATGCTAAGCAGGCACTGATGCCATGTTCTTAGATTTCCTGGCTCCCAGGACCGTGAGCCAGATAAACTTCTGTTCTTTATAATTTAGCCTGTCTCAGGTTGTTTCAGATAGCAACCAAAAACAGACTAAGACAGGAGTCATCTGGTCCAACCCCAAAATTCTGAGGAGGAAGTTAAGGCTCAGAGAATGAAATGACGTGTCCAAGGGCCCATGAGCTATTGCTGCCACCCACCCTGGAAAGGTCTTATGGTGCTGAAGGTGGTGAGGAATGGACACAGCACTCTGAAATTATCCGTGTGGCAGGGTCTTCCTCAGTTTCCCTGAAGAGAACACCCAGAGGTGACTTCCAGCTTGAACGTGGTTGCCATTAACCAAACTCTGAAAACCAAGGTCTCAACTGGAATTTTCTTCCTTTTATGGCAAAGGTGATGGAAATATCCAATGCATCAATTTCTTCACTTCCTGGAGGCTGTTCAGCACACCTGAGGCACGTAGTCCAGGAGGCCTCGTGCCACATACTTGAATTCCTTCCCTGGACCCCCTGCAGACCAATCTCTCCCCCATCCTCTTTGACCTGCTATTTCTCAAGATGTAACCGATATAACCTGCTGGCCCGCATGTTCTTAGCTACGATAGCTCAACCATTGCTCCGCTCAGAGCTTGTGCCCAGGTGGCCTCATTTAGAGTCTGAGCATTCCCAAATCATTTCAATCACACATTCCTGACAGTCCTTTGGACCGGGCTGCTTCAGAGGATTCATACATTCATTCAGCTCCGTATGCCCGGTTCATTGATTATGTGTCAGGCTCCAGGCACACGGTGGTAAACAAGACTTTTTGGTGATTGTCACCAGGGAAGCAATGACAGCAAACATTCAGCTTATACAGAAGACTTCAGCTGAGGGGAGGACAGAAAAGCGGGCCATTCTGGACACTTGGTACTAGTGAGGGCACTGTCGCAGTAATCCAAGCAGGAGGTCATGGTGACCAGAATAGCATGCTAGCCACAGGGTTGGAAAGAAGTGAACAGATTTGAGACGGTAAAGTCAAGTGGCTTTGTTGGTGGCTTGAGGCAGCATGGGGTACTGTTGAAGAGCCTGACTCTACCAATAAGTACATCGTCCTTCTGGGCCTCAGTTTCCTTGTCTGTGAAACAATGATACCTCAAACTGTATCTGATTATAAATTCAGGATGGCTTATATGTAGATGTTCTCCCAAACCTCATGCACTCATAGGTGGGGCTTTTTAGAGATGGCTGCATCTAAAGCATGTGATACTGGGACTAAGGGTGTATAGTACTAAATTAGTCCACTGATTGAAATTAGCATAGGTCTGAGTCGCACCACCCAAAAGACTGATAGCCTGGATGGGATAAAAGGAAAAGGCTGGCTTGCTGCTGCTGCTCTGCTGCCTCCTGCTTGCTCTGCCATGGACTGTTTCTCCTCTGCGATGCCTCTCTGCCATGCCACTCTGCCTTGGAGCCACCCAACTATAAATTGAAACCTCTACAAACTGTGACCCAAAATAAATCTTTCCTCCTTTAACTTTGGGTGTCGGATATTTTGTCTCAGCAACAAGAAAAGTAACTGAGATACCAAGTAAGTATGCCTTCCAGCTTTGTAGCAACCAGGTGCTGCTTCTGAGCTAGGAAATGCAGGCAGAGCAGGTGGGTGTGGGGGGCAAGATGCCCCTCTCCTCTGGGGATTCTTGAGTTGGCACCTTGTGAGGCATGTTGCTGGGGCTGCTCCCTAGGTAGCTGGATGCTGGATCCCAGGCTCTAGACAAAAATCTGCGCAGGAGTTTTCTATTTCATCTTGACTTTACACTGACTTATGTCTTTGAAATTTGGGCTGTATGGCTCATAGCCAGCACACTAGACTCATGGGCTGGGATGGAGTTGGGATCAGCACTCTGTCCCCTATGGCCCTTTTGTCCTAGGTGTCCCTCCACCCAACTTCACCAAGCTACAGCCTCTCCTCCAAGAGGCTAGAGCTTCTGCCTTTCAGCCCTTTCTACGACCAGGCTCTGTGCTGAGCCTCCATGTACCTAGGTCATCTTCTGGGACCCCATGGCTCACAAGATAGCTGCTACTATGAAGGAGAAACCAGGCAGGCTTCAGGAAGCTGAATGAGCTGTCCAGAGCCACAGACTGTCGATCTGACTTCCAAGCTGGTACCTTTAAGGCTGTGTCCTAGCGCAGTGCAATCAGATAGACCTCTCCATGATGATGAAAATGTTCCATCCTGCCCTGCCCGATGGGGCCACCACTAGCCATGTGGGCAGCTGAGGAACTCAGCTTTTAATTTAATTCAATTTTAATGAATTTAAATGTGATAGTCACATGTGGGTAGTGGTGACCCTATTGGACAAGGCCAAGAAAAAAAGAAAACATTTCCTTCAGACCCGGTTGTAGTGTCTTCTTATTCAAAATGGGTTGCAGTAAGAGACAGGGATCATCTTGAGCAACGCCCCCCACACACCCTGCCCCACTCCCAAGCTCCTAAAAGAGAGATGTTCTAGCCCTCAAGGGTTAACTCAATATTCCCTGCTGCCCACGGTATCCAAAGCTACCAGATGGGAGAGTTGGGTGATAGGGGAGGTGTGAAGTCCCCTGGTGCTTTCCAAGATGGGAAAAGGAAATGCCCTTTTGTAGCATCCTGGAATATCAGCCTCCGGGTTGGCATCTCAAGCAGTGGGACTGTTGCCTGGAGACAAGGGGTACAGAAAACCCCAGGGGGCAGCTGATCTGCAGCAGGGCCCACCCTTGGAGGACAGTGACCAAAAGCAAAGCAAGGAGAGGACCGGCTTGGGGAGGAGGCCAGGAGGTGCTGGCATAGCACCAGGGGCAGAAGGGGCCAGGAGGGGCCGTTGTGATCAGAGGCTGAGGAGAGGGAGGGTGGCAGCAGCTGTCAATAGGGCTGATGGGGAGCAGTAGATCACAGGGTGGAAACACGAGCAAGCAGGGCAGAAGCAGTGTCTATAAATCCTACTGCCTGGGAACTAAAAACCCACAATGTCAACCGGCTGCTTTTGAGATGCAAGATGCAATTGCCACCGACATCTAAATAAGAGTAGGTAAAGAGAGGACTGGGCAGTGGCCTGTGAGTGTGTAACCCCAGCACTCACCTTCCCTGGCTGTGACAACGCCTTAGTTACCTTTCCCCCCCACCAGGACTCTTTTCTAATTACTTCCAGCCAGGCTCGCCAAGATTGTTCCCACTGAATTTCATTTCTGGGCCTGTTGGATGCCAAATTAATTTTTAATCACCCTGGAGATGTTGAGTTTAATTGCCCAGATTGGAAGTGACAGGGAAAGCGGGATGCAGAGGGTAGCTTTTGGGGGTGCGCCTCAGGAATGGGACAGTGAGTTTCGGGGTGCTCTGGGGGAAGAGGGGTGTCTTGGCTCTCCGGCTACAGTAGCTGTGTATTTAAGAGCCCATGGTGCACCCAGCTCTGGAGTAGATGGGTCGGGGTGGGGGGGGCAGGAACAAGAGGAACTAGGAATGTGGTCCTTGGTGAAGCCCAAGCTTGTGGTGGAGACAGTCTCACCCAACCATGAAAAAACTGAAGTAGGGAGCCAGGTATGGAGGTGTGCACCTATAATCCCAGCACTCAGGAGGCTGAGGCAGGAGGATTGGCGTGAGCTCAAGGCCAGCCTAGGCTATATAGTGAGTTCAAGGCCAGGCTGAACTACATAGTGAGATCCTGTCTCAAAAGACAAAAGAAGAAGAAGAGGAAGGAGAGGAAGGAGGGGGGAGGGGAGGGGCGGGGAGGAGCGGAAGTGGGAAGGGGAAGGAGGAGACAGTAACAATGCGAGAGCCGCTGTCCTCAAGTCTTCATTGGCTGAATGTAGCCAGTTCATCCACTCATTTAAAACCCAGAGGTCTCTTTCTACACCGCCATGTCACCCAAACCCCGAAGCCAACACAGTGTAGCTACTCTCCCGCACGTTTTCCACGTGCCAGCTAGGTGTAGACAGTGGTAGCCTCCACAGCCTTCTCCTTTCCGGACTGTTTGGTAGTCTTCCTCTGCTGTACAGCCCCTGCTGCCTGCTCACTGGGTCTTCCCACTTTCCTCGCTAGAGACTGGTGTAGGTGTGGAGATCCAACGCCATCCTAGCCAAGGACTGGTGAGAAACAGTCGGCTAGGTTGGGGGCATGTGTTCTGGGAGAGGGTTTTTATTTGTTTGCTTGCTTATTTTTGTTTTTGGTTCTCAAAAATGAGGTATATAGAGACGCCCCTTTTCTCTGCCAGTCATTGCTGTGTCCTGATATGAGAGTTTGAGCCTGGGTCCATGGCAGTCATTCCTTCACCATGAGGGCATTCACCTGAGAAGGCAGAGTGAATGGGAAGAGCATGGAAGCTGTTGAGCCTTGGATTAGCCAGTCCTGGAGCACCCAAACTGAGGTCCTCTCATTAGGTAAGAAGGCACATTCTATGTGCTTGCAGCCATTTGGGGTAAGGTTTTCCACTTGGTTGGCCAAGGACATCCTCCTCTCCCTCTCCCTCATGGTGCTAGGTCTTGAACCCAGGGCCTTGTACATGTTTGGCAAGTGCTCTATCACAGAGCTACAACCCTAGTCCAAAGCAAGGCTTTAATGGCTAACAGAATGAGATCCCTGTGTAAGACCGCTGTCCTTACCAAAGGCTCCGAGGAGCAGACTATAGTGAAGCACACCCAGCGATCCCAGCAGTGCCTCCAGAATGTAAGGCCAAGGGCCTTACCAGATGCTCCAAGGAGCTGACTGTAGTGGAGCACACCCAGGAATCCCAGCGGTGCCTCCAGAATGTAAGGCCAAGGGCCTTACCAGATGCTCCAAGGAGCTGACTGTAGTGGAGCACACCCAGGGATCCCAGCAGTGCCTCCAGAATGTAAGACCAAGGGCCTTACCAAATGCTCTGAGGAGCTGACTGTAGTGAAGCACACCCAGGGATCCCAGCAGTGCCTCCAGAATGTAAGACCAAGGGCCTTACCAAATGCTCAAGGAGCTGACTATAGTGGAGCACACCCAGGGATCCCAGCGGTGCCTCCAGAATGTAAGACCAAGAGCCTTACCAAATGCTCCAAGGGGCTGACTGTAGTGGAGCACACCCAGGGATCCCAGCGGTGCCTCCAGAATGTAAGACCAAGGCCTTACCAAATGCTCCAAGGAGCTGACTGCAGTGAAGAACACCCGGGAAGGAACACCCGGGAAGGAACACACCGGACAAGTTGGAAAGTAAAACAGACCTTAGTCTGGCCAGATGGCACTCCCAAAGCAAAGTAGCTTAGAGAGGCGATCAGCCCAGAGTCGGAGGCTCTTTTTATAGGGGGTTGCAGGGAAGTTAACAGGTGAAATTTACAGAAGAGGGAACAAAGGTTAGTGGTCTTACATTTGCATGTTAATTAGCCTGACATGTACTGATAGTCAGCAGATGCTTTGTAGATTGTTCTATAGATAGTGGTGTCC